GGGGGGCGGGGGGACTTCTGGTGACTGGATTCCCCACACTGCTGCATGAGAAGGAGCTCCCAGCACACTCTGGGATGGCGCTTCTCTCATTGGTCGCTGGCTGCTCCACGTAAACAACTGTCAGGTGGAATGCCATGAGAGCTAGACGTGCTCGAGAACTTGATTTAACTAATGTGGACCATGACTGGCCGCAAGAGTCGTGTCACAGAGCATTTCCCGGCTTGAACTCCTGGAGGCCAATGGGAAGCTCGGCAGCAGCTTCCTGTGGTGGGTCAGGGGGCAGGCCATATAAGCTGTCCATGTAGACAGCTGTTGTTTCAAGTGGGGCATTCTGGGACCTTTGACCATGGGCGCCACATGCCAGTCAGCGTGGAGGGAGGGGGCAGTAAAATGAAAGAAGAATTCTGGTTTCGCTCGGCTGGTGGGGACAGCCCAACATACCTGTCTTGCCCCAGTACCTCATGTTAAAGTGGTTGGCGAGGAAACTAGAGTGCAGGATGCTTCAGCAGGAACTCATGCCGTGTCCTGACCTCCCCTGTGACCTCCAGGCTCGGTTTTCCGGGACGAGTTTGACCTGGCCATTCTCCAGCTGCAGGAGAACAACCGCCTGGAGATCCTGAAGCGCAAATGGTGGGAAGGGGGGAAGTGCCCCAAAGAGGAAGATCACAGAGCCAAAGGTAAGCATGGCCTACGCCTTCCCCTCCTGCCCGGGCAGGCCCGAAGCTGCTGTTTCTCGTGCACAGAATTCCGGATGATGGCTTCCGGAGCACACGGAGCGCTCACCTCAGAAGGCCCCTGGGACAAGTTGGGGCTGGCTGTGGGTCAGTCTGGACTATGGTCTTGCTTATTTTGTAGACACCCAGTGCCCACTCATCTCACCAGTCTTAAAGGCTCTGCCTCCATGAGGTTCCCTGGCTCCAGCCGCCTCTCAGTCCCGCATCTGCCTTGCCCTTGTGCCCATCATCTTGCCCCTGTACGATGGACCGCACTAGCCTGGTGTCCTTCTGCACTTATCTTCCCCAGGGCCAGAGTGATGCTTTTTAAGCATGTCAGTCATTTTACCGCATTCCCTCCCACAAAACGCTAATGGTTTCCCATCTCATTCAGCCAAAAGGAAAAGCTAAACTTTCCTTGGCCCCAAGGCCCCATGTGACTTGCACAAGATCCATTTTCCTCCTCATCGACAACTCCACCCAAAGTTCCTGGCCTGCTGTCATCTCCTGGTCTTTGCACTTGGTGTTCCTTCTGCCTGGGAAGCCCAACTCCAAGACCTCCTCTGGGCTGACCCTCATCGGAACCTCCCTCATCATCTATTAACATCCCTTCAGCTCCACATCCCTGCCCCTCCTGATCCCTGCTTGACTGGCCTTCACAGCCCTCACTCTCTGCCATTGTATCGGTGCACTATTGACGTGCCCACCCCTCTGCGAGATCGTAAGTGTCCTGGGGCAGGGGTGTGGCCCTCCTCACGGGCCTCAGGACCTGCCATGGGGCTATTTTATTGGATGCACCAAGGCGAGACTGTTAAGTTACATTGAATACGAGAGTCACTGACTGACAGGTGCACTTGGGGCATCCTGCAGGCCTCTCACACAGGAGCGCCCATGCAGGTCAGCCTGGGACAGTTTCAAGTTGACCTTGGTTGGAGGTCAGTTCATGGCTATGAGCTATTTTGGAGCCCTCTTCATGTTCAGAGAGCCTTGATTTGAACAATAAATCAGTCACCCTAGCCATCCACTAGAGCCTTGCTAAAATGTGCAGCAAATTTACCTATACATGGTCTCCCCTGGGGAGGTAGCTGAGGAGTAAAATGAATACTATCATGTGCTTCACTCTTGGCTCAGCAGGAATGATCATCACTGGTGGGACAGTCAATGAGGAAATGGGCATCCTGCATGTCTACTGGGGAGGGGGCGTGTCTACCCCTAGCCATTTCCATGTCAAAAGGGCAGCTGTGGTAGAATGGGCTTCCTTCCCTCTAGAAAGACAGTGAGGCTACAGCCTTCCCGGCTCTCCACTCCCCAAAGGCCCAGATCGGCTGGGAGGTCAGTGGCTGTCAGTGGGCATGGAGCGTGGGAGACTTCCTCCCTTGACTCCCAGCTCACCTGAGTACTAGTGCTGGGGGCTTCACTCACTGCCATGGAGTCCATACTGATTCATGGGGACTCCCTCAGACAAGGTAGAACGGTGAGTTTCTACTCCCATGAGTTTCCGAGACGCTAACTGTTTGTGGGAGTAGAAAGTGCCCGACTTTCTCCCAAGGAGTTGCTGGTGGTTTCAAACTGCTGACCTTGCAGATCGCAGCCCAACGTGTAACCACTGTGTCCCCAGGGCTCCATGTTATTAGCATGCTGATTACCTGTGGACAGTGGCAAGCACACCAGCGTTTTGATGACAGTAGAAAGTAACCTAGCACCAAATGGGACCAGTGTAACCTGCCAATGGCACCGGCGCTGGGCTGCTCTCAGGACTTCAGGGGCGTCTGATTCTGTTATCTGTCTGCAGGGGAATCATCTTCCCTGTCAGCCATTTGATCCTCAGGGATGTGTTGACTAACAGTGGGAAGCCCGAACACACTGGGTTGTATCCCAGGGAATGACAGAGAATGCACTGTGCAGGCTTTCACCTGGGAATTGTCACATGACCGCTACAATCAAAGCCAACCCATTTGAAGTGATTAGCAAATATCTAGATGCCAGCCAATCTACAATGTGTGAAATGTGGCGGAGTCACACTGTTTGTTCAGAGAGGGAAAAAAGATGGGCGGGGGGTGGAGGGTGGGCACAGGGAAAATCATCAGGAGACCCCATGGACTGGATACCACAAATCGGATATTCAAGCTACTCAGGGCCCGTGACGGCACCCCAGGGAAACGGGCGCCCTGCGGGAAACTGTGGAGGTTCCAGGCAGGACAATAGGACTGCCCACTTTCCCCATTTGATCCCTGTCCTCATGAGACTCACTATTGAGTTTGATCCATCTCTCCTGTTCTCGCTTTCATCTCCAACCTCTGAAACAAACCCCAAGACCCTCTCCTTTGTTCACGTGTGCAGACAGCGGTGTGTATTCATGACTTCTGCTCATCACAAAGGGGAGACAGACGGAGGGGAGACAGACGGAGGGGAGCAAAGCTGGCAAGCACGGGAAAGTGTTGGAGAATCCAACACCTCACAGTTTTTATACTCAGGGACTCAAGCGAGTATCGTTGCCCCTTTTCGATGTCGCCCTAAAGCCAGTGGACTGGCGTTTCTCTTGAAAAGATGGGGCTTGTTGAATTGACAGCAGCCTGCACCCTTGTGACGGCTCTCTTCCCTCAAGCAGTGGGCACAGGGCCGGGCTCCTGAGCATTGGCTCCAGTGGACTCCATGACACACATGGCCTGCTCATGTGGTTCGGAGCCTTCGGGTGGACTCCAACCCAGAGCGACCCTGTGGGCCACAGCAGGAAACACGGCCTGGTTCTGAGCCCTGCTCACAGTTGCTGCTGCAGCCACCAGGTCGGGTCATCTCATCCCCGGTCGTCCTTTTGTGCTGACCTCCCACTTCACTCAGCAAGATATCGTTTCCCAGGGACTGGTTTCCCCTGATCACACACACGTACTCAAGACACCTGGCCTCACTTCCACAGACGATGCTGGCTGGGCTGCCTCCGAGAGAGATTTGCTTGTCTGACAGTCCATGGTGCTTTCTCTGTTCCTGGCCAGCACCATCATCCAAAGGCACCGTTCCCCCCAGTCTTCCTTAGTCACCGTCCAGCTCCCACGTGCATGTGAGGCGATTGAAAGGACCATGGCTTGGGTCAGGGGAGCCCCGGCCCCAGTCCTGGACAGGAAACCTCTGACTCTCACTTCCCGTCTCTGGGAAACACAGGTGATAAATAGAGGCCAACGCCAGCATGAGGACTGACTGAGACAAATCACGGAAAGCCCTCAGCAAGATGCCAAGCACAAAGTAAATGCGGACAGGCTTCATTTTGAAATCTGCGCCGAAAGAGAAATGAAGGCACAACCAGAAGTCTGAAGAGTGTCCGCAAGTCACAGTGCCCGCGAGTCACAGTGCCCACGAGTCACAGTGCCCGCAGGTCACAGTGCCTGTGAGTCACAGTGCCCGCGAGTCACAATGCCCGCAGTCACAGTGCCTGTGAGTCACAGTGCCCGCGAGTCACAGTGCCCGCAGGTCACAGTGCCCGCAGTCACAGTGCCCGCGAGTCACAGTGCAACCCTCATCCTGGGCACCTGACGGCTGGGTTGCCTTCAGAACATACGATGACGCCGATTGTGTTTCTGCTGCCATCAGTGCCCAATAAACCAGGAACAGCTTAAGGACAAGAACCGTCTTATTCATTTCTGTGCCTCAGTATCCAGCATATCACCTCGCATCAGTATTTGATGAAAGGATAAATGAAAAAAAAATCATAAATGAAAGAATGAGGAAATATCGTAAGGATCTCCAGACTGGGCACCACTTCCTTTCTCATCCAAGATCTGTTTCCTCCCCAACAGGAACTATGATCTCCAAGGATGGCATGTAAAGTATTCGTGATGACCAACAAGCATCACTATCAACCACTGTTGACCAAAGCAGGTGCAAGGATTTGAGATCATGGGGACACGATCCTGCTCTCAGGAGATTCGGAACCCAGAGAGAGGCGCCCTCGTAGCCGTAGCGGTGGGTTGTAGGGCTGCTTTCACGGAGCTGTAAGGAAAGCCTGTGAAGCCCAGAGGAGCAAGTGGAGAGTCTGACGGACGGCCAAGGAGAACTTTACAGAGACATTTGGCCTGGGCCTGGAAGTGTGCATTAAGTGCCCTTGCTTTAGGAATGTGTGGAGTCCCGTTGGTCACAATCAGAAATTGGTGTGAGCATGTAGGATGAGAAGGGAGTTAAGAGACCCTTGAGAGATCTGAACCTCAGACCAGTCTGCATCAGACTCTCCCAGGGAACGAACTAATCACAGGAGATCACACGAATGTATGTTCTTGGGGATCTATGCATAGAGACTCAAGCAGCCCACCACACTTGAAGCCTAAAAGCCCATTGCCTGAAAACCTTTTGTTCTGCCCTAAAGCAGAGCAGTATTGCCCAGCCTCCCAGTCTGCAAACCAGATCAAAGAAGGGCTGTCTCCAGGGCGGGGGAGCTTCTGGACAAGGACTGCTTTGGAGTGTGCTCGTTGCTGGTGGAGGCGACCACCTAGAGGTCAGCCCAGACTCCTGGTGCCCCCGAGCACAAGAGGATCAGACCATTGTGTTCCACAGGATTTTTCTCTGACTGAGGCACCCCAGGAACCTGAGGAATATCAGAGAAGCCACTGCCAGACAGGTGGTGGCTGGTGTTCGAACCCAGATAGCCGACGTGGAAGATGAGAATTCAAGTAAGTTACGGGGAGCCCCTCGTGGGAGAACGACGAGGCTTGCTACTCCCGTAAGGAGTTACCATCTCGGAACCCACAGGGCCGTTCTACTTTGTCTTGTGGGGTCGCTTTGAGTCTGAATTAACTCGATTGCAGTGAGTTTGCCTCCAGCACTGCCCCCTACTGGAATGCAGTGGGGCGAGAAGGTGCTTCGAAGACTGGAGTTTCCAAGAGGGAAAGACATTTTTCACTGTTTCTAGAGTTTGGCAAGCTTCAGAAATACGTGCCAGGCCTCAACGGTAGAATGCGGGGCAGCAGAGATGGTAGGGG